TTATAACTCGATTTTATTATTGTTATGGCGGAAGCCGCTGACCAGCCAAATAATTCAGCTGGATGATGTACAGAGGTTTAAAAATCAGTAAAAATCCACTATTGAGAAACTTACAGCAAAAATCATAATTTTAGCCCTCAAATTGACCCCCCTGGAACTTTGCCAAAATGCAATTAGACTGAAAACAAAATGCATTTTGAAACAACCCTTACAAGAGATATACACGCGTAAAAATTGAGAAAATCAACAACTTGTTCCAGGTTAATATCAACAGGCGTGAACAAGGTTGTGTGGCCCACTATGAACAGTATTGTCAACATGTTGTTACAGCATTATTCAACTGTAACAACTTGGAACAACATGGTTGACAACTTGTTCATAGTTGGCCGCACAACATTGTTCACGCCTGTCGATATCAACTTGGAACAACCTGTGCGTTTTTAGCCGTGTACTATTGTTCGAGTCAGGACTCGAGCTAGGACTCGAGTCAGGATCAAGGACTCGATCAAGAAAATGCGAAAATACGGGGAATTGCCATTACTCAGTGTTTTTATTTCACAAGACACACTGATTACGCACGCTAGCTAAATGTTCTACTACTAGCAGACAAACTCTAGTGGATTAATTAAATTTAGTAATACAGTTAATTTGGTGATATTGGCATCTATTACAGGAATATAGGGCAGTGGAGAATTATCTTACTCTTTGGTGAATGCTAAGTGGCAAACAATGAGCGGCAACAAGTATCTGTTTTGTAAAGAGCGAGAGACTACTGGTGATGCATGGGCAATACCAACTTCGATAAAATATACTGGCCGGATATTTCCCTATTTTGAATATCGGTATTTGTTCGATAGATCAAACACGAACAACAACAATGGTAGTGACTATTGTTTAATTCACTGTCTTCCGACGCTGATAACCGTTACAGTTATAGCCAAAGTCAGATGAGATTGATAGCTCTGTATGTACAAATATACCAAATATAAACGTTCTAGTTCTTTTATCGACTCTGGTGGAAAAAGGCAGGAAATTGTTGATTTGGTAAACAATTTAAGTTCTCTCACTTCCATTTGCCAAACATTCCTTAGGTTATCGATAAACAATTCCTCAGATTCAGAACAGCTGGGAAATTTGTTGCGCATGCGCTAGATTTCCATTGAAATTTCCCCGAAGAAATATTACGAGATGTTCGTGTTGTTGTATATTTTTGAATGCCTGTTTAATCTTTATAATTGTTTTGCTTGAGACAAAGACAAAGTAAATATACTCTACGTTTCCAGTGTATAGAATATCTCGTTTGAACAGCAATAGAATATTATAATCTTGACACAAACAAGAAGATATTTGACACGCTAAATCTGTAGTCATGCTTGACTGAGGTATAAAAGCCAATCGTCGCGAGCTTGACAGCCTTGTCAAACGCAAAACAAGTACAAATTTGGGTTCAAACCGAAAGAAGTTCAATGTTAATACAACTAACATATATTCTATACAAATACGGGTGGTTTAAAATGTTTTCAATTGAATTTTCAAAGCTTTTATCTATCGCTATGATAATCAAACTGTGAACTTGATGCCGTAGTTTTGTTGACGCTTGCGAATGCAAAATAACTTCCCGTAAACAGAGCATTTCTACACAAAACTCTCGCTTAGTCTTCTGATGCACTTGTACGTTCGGTTCTACTAGTTAAACAAGGAAAATATTCAAGAAACACTGGTAAATTATCGTTGTCAAAAAACATTTCAGTGCTGAGGCAGTACAAGGTCTCAAGGGCAAGGTCAAGTTGTCGATTTCATTACATTTTACAGTACTTCGAATGTTTTCGAACTCTTGCTTCATACAATAGCAGTAAACGCACGCATTTCAAAGCGAAATTAGACGCAAAGGGGCAATTTTTCAACAAAATTCATTGTTAAATTATGTTTCCTATGTGCCTTGGGAGCAAAAAAATATGATTTTAAATTTGGAGGAATCGGTAAATTTTTTTGCAATTTGGCCTGGTATTGCACCCTACCTATGTAATGACTGTGCTGTAAAAGTAATCAAATATACTATTTTGAATTTCCCTTCATTGAAAGGATCTACTATTGTGGACTAAACTAAATTTTAATCAGCATACAAGGCTGCAAACAACAGCCAAGAATTAGCTGGGTAGTTTGCAAACTTTAAAAATAATTGGACCTCAAACTTTGATCCCCAAAAGTAAACAAATGGCCAATACTGCGAACATAATCCAAGTTTTGACCACTAGGGGCAATTTTTAGATGTAAAAAAACTTGTTTAAATTACATATCAAACAAAGGCAAAACAAAATTTGGTATTAATTTTTTGGAGGAAACGTCAAGGTTTTTTGCTATCCGCGATTGCTTCTACACCCCCTCCCCCAGGACCTTCTCTATCAGAAAACAGTTTTCTGCAGAAACTATGCTTTTTTATCGGGAAAATTTTTACTTTTCTCAAAAAAATACTTTAGAAACACGGAAACCTTAAATATTTAAATAATTTTCATACCTTTTTGGGATTGTAAAAAGCAAAATTTGATTCATTATCACACTTTTTAAAATATATGTGACAAAGTTGCTTCGAAATCACTATCACGCAGTAGCATGTTTATTTACCCTCATCCTTTTGACTGAATAAAGTTTATCTTTTTGAAAAGCTATTTGTTTTATAGCTCTTGGTTAGCAGTTTACGTTTATGTCGATTTTGGCACCCATGAGGCCAACAAGTTATGGTAATCCGCGAATGAAAACTGATATTCGAAGAGCACAAAAGTCAACTCCTAGCTATATGTAACTTTATCGCCTGAATTTTGAATCAATCCACAATTAAATTTCTGGTAATGTAGATGTTTTCCATACTTGAGATGTTAGTGAAGTTTTTCCAACAATTTAATTTCCTTGATCGCCGTCTTAAAAATGCAAAATCATCAGTTGAAATTTCACTCGTGTTGTTTTTTCAAATTTTCGAATTTTTGTAAAATATCGCGTGCGCCTGCAATTTCTCTGCACAGCGACAACAAATTTCCCAGCTGTTGGAAATAACGTATACAATCTAAGGAATTTAGAGAAATTTTGATGATAAAAATGAGAAATTTTGATTTTGAAAATGGAAGCACTGTACTGAATACACTCGTTGAATATGATCGTCAATATGTTCTTCTGTTGAAATAAAAATATTTTGACAAAGGAAAGGCAGAAATATTGCTATGTTATGATCAAGCTCCTTCCAATATTTTCTTGAAAATTAGCTGTAAAAGAACCATGGCATATTGCGGATGTAAATAATGAAAATGCAAATATTTCTCGGAAATGAGATCGAGATGCGTTTGCTAATTTTCCTTGGAAAAACATCTTCCTATTCTTCCGTTTTCTGTTTGAAATATACTTTAAAATATGAATGTTTTTATGGGAGGAGACGTACTTGCTTTGTTCTGATTTTACTTTATTATAAATTTGATGATGTTGTTTGCAAAAACAAGGAATTGCTTGAAAGTCTTGTGTGCTGGTCTGATATTTGCTCTAGTTTCAAATTGGCAATTAATAGCAGCGAGGAAAATAGGTATGTCGATACTTGAGGCTGATTTCCACCGTTGCGTTTTTCATATACCTACGTATACGCAAGTAAACCTTTAAATCCGTTTAAATGTTACTTATGAAATAACCAAATAAATAGAGCAACAGAGTTTAGTGTTCCGCAAGTTTTAGTATGCACTTGTTAACTTATTTGTAAAATATTTAAAAAATAGAAGCATTCAAAATTTTACATGCGTGCACGTGCGTACGAAAAACGCAACAGTGGAGATCAGCCTTTACACAATTATTTATTTTACGCCTTACGCTTGCAGCGTGCTGAAATGATAGTGTGTACGTTATGTACATTTCAATAGATTTCAAGTGAGTGGTGTACAAATTTTCCTGTGATGAGTTGAGTTTTTGGATTGAATTCCATTCAAATCACTGCTAATAGTGTCTGGGATGATGGGATCAAATGATCATTGACTTCCTGATCGAATGGTCGAGTCCTGACTGCATGTATAACTGGCAAATAATTATCACTTATTTACTGAGACCGAGGGAAACAGTGTGTTTTGTGGACCCGAGACCGCCGATGTTTCCCGAGGCGAAGCTGAGGGAAACATCGACGGTCGAGGGTCCACAAAACACACTGCTTTCCCGAGGTCTCAGTAAATAAGTGTTTTATTATATATCAATAGTCAAAGAAACAACAAATTAAAGAACAAATGAACGTACTAAATACATGAAATATTTTATTGTGAAAACGTTATATTAAACACTGGCTACACTGCAGTTACTTAAAGCGAAAGTTTTAATTACGTACTAGGCATGTCCAAAGGTCCCACCTTCACGTGATGGCGCACATGATTTTTTTTGTTATTCGCCGGTCGATAACGTATTATCTCCCTCTCGCGCTGTTGCGAGGGAGACAGCCTAATTTTGTCACTCTCACGTGATATGCTCTCAACCAATAAAACACTAGAAAAATGCGACTTTGACTATTGATATATAATAATTATCATTTATTTACTGAGACCGAGGGAAACAGTGTGTTTTGTGGACCCGAGGGAAACATCGACTGTCGACTGTCCACAAAACACACTGCTTTCCCGAGGTCTCAGTAAATAAGTGTTTTATTACTGTATATATCAATAGTCAAAGAAACAACAAATTAAAGGGGAAGTCAAGTCCGTTCTGCGCATCGATTCTGTGCATAACAATGTGAGGACCTCTAATGTGAACATTGCCCAAATTTCGAATTTTTCTGAACATAAACTTTATTTCATATTCATTTAGAAGCATAGCGAATCAAAATGGTGTTAGATATTC